CCAACTTCCCCTTAAAGTCTGAGAACCAGGGACCAGAGGGTAGACAGGCAGTTACTACAGCTGCTTTCTCCTACCCGGTAGGAAATCATGGGATATTACATTATTGCTCTACCAGTATTGGAGACCCGATTTAAGGCGTGGAGATCTATAAAGGGGACAGGGGTCGGCAATACAAATGCGCATATAACTTTTTTTAGATATTAAGAACACTTGTAATTTTTTAATAAAGAAGAAAAAAAGTGTCAGAAAATTACTTGGGAAGTAATTATATGCATTAGATTATTAATTAAAATTAAAATATCTTAGAGTTATAAAAACATGGTGCTGCTTGTTAATAATTAAAATTTGTACATCTGATTAAATTGTATTATGTTGCAAATACGTAACAATGCAAAAATATATATCCATACTAAATTGAACTGATTTGACTGCTTGTTTCAGTACTTATGGGTTTCGTTACTTGCTTTTGTCGTTTAAGGTTCGTGGGTTTGAGCTTTACGTTTGCTTTTGTAGATGACTTCCGTTATAATTCGCTTGCAGAATCTGCCGATGACGGCGAATGCATCAAATATTCGTCGCTTTTTTGGTGGTTTGAATATCCCTGAGGGTGGCGTACACATTGTCGGCGGTGAGAAAGGTGACGCGTTCATAGCATTTGCTACTGATGAGGATGCTCGGAAGGCGATGCTTCTAGATCACCAGTATATCAATTCTGCTCAGATTCGCTTGTTCCTCAGCAGTAAGGCAGAAATGCAGTCTGTCATAGAGACGGCTCGTTGTTCTGTCATCATGGCGTCTCAACAGGCTCCTCCTACTCAGGAAAATGTTCAGAGGCTTCCTGGTCAGTATAACTCCTCTCCGCACACTATATCGGCTCCTCCACAGTCTTACGCTCGTCCCTCTGGTCCGTCAAGCATTGGTTCTGCCGGAGGACCGTATAGTCAGGCACCTCAAACCTCTCGGCAGGTTCCTCCCGAAAAGGGTGTTGAAGCTCATTCAGATGGAGCATATAGTCATGGCTTTGATCGCTCTGACACATGGGGTAATGATCACGACGGGAACCAATCTGAGTTCACTAGCTACGGTAAGGAGCAGAACGGGCCACTGAGACCAACGGAGTCGCGAGATGGTGATGGGTTCTTATCTCACCATGAGGGTGGTAGCGATAGATACAGTGGATACGGTGGAGGTTATGAGGATCGGCCGCCGCCACCGGCGGGAGACGGTTATTATGGCTATGGCAACGGTTACGAGGGCAGTATGCAGTACGGAGAACCGAACTACTATCGCGAAAATTGTCCCATGTTTTCAAATGGTGAACGCGACTTTTCAGTCAGGCCACCTTGGCTCAGGGATGAGGATCATCAATTTGGTAAAAGACCGGGTCCCCCTGATTCCGGTATTGACGTAGCTCCTCACAAGCGTCACCGACAGGATGACATTCAGGTTCAAAACTCAGAAGTGCCATGTTTGGACTTCGTTGTGAAGATTTCTATGCGTCCTGCAGACGTTACGGTGAAAAGCGTTTTTGACTTCCTCCGTGGCGTGAACATTGTTCCCAAGTTCGGCATTCGAGTAGAGGAAGATGCTCTAAAACGATACACTGGGAATGTTTATTGCATGCTCACATGTCCTCAGTCGCACCATCGGGCTCTGTCGTGCGATGGTAATGTATTTCGTGGCGCTAAAGTTCAGGTGGTTAACTCCTCGGCTGAGGAATACTTTAAGGTCACTGACAGCAACTTTCAAAGTAGGTGTCCTCCGGCTCTGCTCGAAAGAATACCGCCAAGGGCCTCCATAAAGCCAAATTACTACAGCGAAGGTTGTATCGAAATCTCCGAGATTCCGGATGATGCTACTGAGAGGGACATTGTTAGCTTCTTGGGCGTACCGGGTCTCACCGAAGAGAATGTTAAGATCGTGCAGGGAGGACCTCGGGGGTCCTCTGTAGCGTTGGTTCATCTGCCATCTGCGCGCGATTTGGATATCCTTCTAGGTGCACCGCCGCGTCCTTTTAGTCGAAATCAGACACAAAACGTTAAGCTCATGGCAATCTCTTACATGCAGTTTGTTCACTCGATAGCGAAGTCTCAGTCAAAGCAGCCTGATGGGGTAACTAAGTCATCAAGTTCGGAAACTCCGATAGTCGTCAAAACCTGCTGCTTCATCTATGGTTTTGCACGAAATATGACGGTCTTTGAAATCTCCAAGATTTTTCCTACCGTTTTCATCCCGGGGGACTCTATTCATCTCTTATCAAGCAGTCGGGCCGCCGTGATTGATTTTATTAACGAGGATAGCTGCAAGTCAGCTCTGCGCGATTTCTCGGCTGCTGAAAATGATCTTAAGAAAGTGCACAGAAACCTCTGCATGCGTGCCATATCCAAGGTAGAATTTGAGCAAAAACTGCAGGAGGTTGAGAACCAAACGAAGTCGCAAACCAATGACAGTGATCGTGCTGGGTCCAGGTCGGCTGGGCCTCGTTACCACCCTCCACAATCACCCCTTTCTGGGCCACCTAGGGGGGCGCATCCTAGACCGCCCTTCCCACCGCCTGGTCCACCGCCGCCTCCGCATTTCCGTCGGCCCGGTCCCCCGGTGTCGGTACACATCTCTAATCTCCCACCCAACTGCCCTCCAAACGCGGTACTAGACGTCTTTCGGCCATTCCGTCCCCTCCCGGGTTCGCTTCGTTTTCGTCGTGATCACAGGGGCAATCAGATGGGAGAGGCGCTCATATCATTCGGTTGCTTTGGGGATGCAGAGCGAGCGGCACATGAAACGAACATGTTCCGGCTCTTCAACAAAAGCCTCTCTGTTCGTATCCATCAACAGTAGAGGACTTCGAAACTTTTTTTCCTTCTCTTTTAGGTGTGTCGATCTTTTTATCCCGGTAAGATTTGCTTTCATTAGTCTATTTTTTTTGCCTAAACAATATTTTGCTAGTGTAACTAGGTGTAGGGTCTGCATGCCATTTCTGTGATTGGAATACTTTTGATATGAATGGCACGCTTTACTTGACTGAGTCGTTTGAATTTTTTTATGCATTTCATTAAATAGTTTTTTAACAAAGACGCTTGTGATGCAGGATGTTCCTCTTATGTGGGTACCCATGCGATTTGGGCTCAGTACAATATGGGTTCGCTTTGAAATGGAAGCATCCCATGTTATTGCGCGTTGAGAGCATGAGGCCTTTTGAAGTAGTTACGTTCCTTGGTGTGGGTCATGCAGTGTCATCTGATTTGGATGAGCACTTTTGTGATGTGAAGTCCTGAAAGCTGGACGATGGGTGTGAGGCGGGACACTCCAGACTGTCGACGTTTTTATCACGTTTTATTTGTGGTTTGGGATTCAGGCAAACCGTTGCATTGTGAATCCCTCCATGACGGCAATCAGAGGTCTGGACGTATCGCCGCTTCAGTGCTGCACGGCAGTTGCGATCCAAGTGCCACGAACTATCCCTTGAACAGGGGAGTTTAAGCTCGGCATTGAATCAATTGAAAATGCAAGCAATCTTTAGTAGCATTCGAAGTTAGGTCTTGATGTGAGAGTAACTAAAGCTCATCATTGCTTGTCACCTGTTTCTGGTTTTCAAATAGACGGAACAGCTGGCATGGAATACGGCATCGTACAGTGCGGATTTTGGATGGACTAGCAGTAGTGTGGTTTCTTCAAAGTTCGGCTGGTTACTGCTCGGTGCAATGTAATATTACTTGCTGGTCGGTCTCATGTTTACTAGCCCTGTTATTTAGACAGCTCCGGGTTGTTTGCTTTGATCTATTTCTCTGTTTTACTTTACCCGACTGAGGCCGTTGCACTAGTTGTGAATCATTGGGTCCGTTCGCAGGCTCTACGATCGCCTCTGAACTTGGTGCTTGGTAAAATCCTGAAGTGGGAAATGTATTTCTAAGAGGTCTTGGCCTGTAGAGGCTTGTTTGTTTGAAGATTGTGGGAATGGGTCCTGGGCAAGGCGCTCACTTGCATCAGTAGCTTATGGTCGAGCTCAGTGAGCCTCCCTGTAGGTTACCTTCACTGTCAGAGTGAGCTGGGCCTTCGTTTGACTGATTCATTGTTCTGTCAGGATGGGGGTACTCCTAACGCCATTGTTTGATTTTAGCGCGCGCCTTTTTGTCTATTTGTGTGGTTGTGTGCATAAACGAAATTTACGGAGAGCGAATGTGCACATCCAACACTCTTCCCATCTGTTTGTGTGAATGTCGCCGAGTTAACATCTGGTCGATTCCAGTCCTGGTGGCCGAATGTACACGTGGAAAACAGCATTTACAGAAAGAAAGCAGCCTTGAAATGTAAGCCGTCTACTGGTGGTATTTGCCGGCATTTAATGTATATTATTGTTTTTGATAAAATGGCGAGTTGTGCCATAGGATTTACGGCGTTTTAGAAGAATGAACTTAAAGTAAGCACTAATAGCTCTTATTAGCTGCATTCTCTGTTGGCTTATAACTCCGTTGAATGATTTCAAAGCAAGTGCAGTTCTTTTACGAGGCTATTGTGACAGCTCGATTACTTTATGACGCGCAGACCCCCTAGCTCCTTTCTCAGTTTACACTGACAGTAGTTGCACTCTAGCTTGTGCGACATCAACTAAATGCGAGTTGGACATGTTTTTAATTTGCCACGCAAGTCTCGATATTGAAAGTACGAGTGCTATCCGCTTGTTTGTCGGCTTATCTTCCGGATTGTCCAGACAACCTACTAGATTCAAGCCCAAGCATCAGTTGAGTATGCGCCTCTAGTCCTTTCCTTACAGCATGCTTGGGTTGAAGTGGTCGGGCTAACTGTGGATTGGCTGGGACGCGTATTTGCGCTTAGCTTAGTCGTGTACTCGCTCCACATGGTGGCTCAGTTTAAAGCTGCGAATCATTTCGGTTGGTGCTGCAGCAGCAAAGTCCCTGTTCGAATGGTCGCGTTCGAACCTCGTGGTTCGCCTCACTCGTGCGCATAATGATTTAGTTGCAGGCAAATGTATGAATGGTTTCGGGTCGTCCAACAGCCTCGCCTCGGGGATGAAGGTGTAGTCCTCTTTGGTGATTCAAATGTTTCACCTAATCCCATGGCCACCATCAAGGAGTTCCCCAATGGGAGGTGCTTAGCTGGAATGCAGCCTGCAAACATGCCTCTATTCACACTCGATAAGTAGTGCTCATTTGTGGTCCTTCCAATCTCCGAGGCTTGGTCTATCGGTTAACGGGCTTGTAGTTTAGTAAAGTGACGCGTGGAGCGTGCGGTATTAGATCCGCGTTCGAATTGTATTTCATGAAGTCAAATTGGACGTCACTGCTTTTCGCCGGTTTGTGAATCAATGACGCGGAATAGGTTCCGTTGTTCAAGCGCTTTTTGCCTGTATCGAACAACGCCTAAGAGAAAGTGATTCAAGCAATAGTTTCACTGGAGGCGTAAAGCGCGCTTTGCAGTATTACCATGGTCTCTCGGAGTTGCCAGTATTTGGGGTCTGCGGTCATGGTTTAAACCTCACTGGCTGTCAAAGCAGGCGTAGGTGTTCAAAAGCGGTCTGCTCTGGCGCTAGGTGGTCTCTCGGTTGGTTTGATAACTATGCACTTGTGACAACTGGTTTATTCTTTAATTTGTACTCTCAATTAGGTGAGATTTAGCTCTGACATCTTCACCCATGCGTTGATAAAGTAGTAGGGCGTGGAACGTGCGGCATTCTTGTTACCCCTTCGAATAGTGCTTTTGTCAGAGGATGCTGTGTAAGTTACGCAATTCATGGAGCTCTTCATATCAGCACATTGGGTACTACTTTTTTTTTATCGAATTTCGTTTGTCCCACTTTCAAGTGACTGGAATTTGCCCACTTAGTTCTCAGTCTTATACGAGCCGATAGTGGGTTACATGCGTAATGTTCTAATGTGCTTGGTACATCCAAATGTAACAAGACGCCTAAGGGGCTTTTGGTATTGTTGCCTTTTTACTGGCTCTTTCGTAAACTTTGCACCTCTTGCAAATTACACGATCAACTGTCATTATCTGGACACAGTCGTTGTTTGGGAACTGGCTCCTCCGGTTACGGGTTCGTTGCCAGTGTCGGTGGCATGGTGTCTTACGGGAGGTGGCGAAGTCTCGTTGGGCCGTCATCTTGGGTTTCTTGTGGGGGCTGATATTTTAGTGATGTTTGCATGTTGATCTGTTGCAGCTGTTGTCGCTGCAGTTAGACGGCTTCTGCTTCGTTGGGTTTAGGGGAAATCCAATAACCTCCTAAGGAGTTCTCGTTTGCTTTTACGGCTTACAGTTCTCCTTCGTTCCTATTTCTGTAGTAGTGAATTTGTCCATGGTTACCTTCCGCACGGATTATTTGAAAGTGTTTTAAAATACAGATGAATCTGAATAATAGTTTAAACACGTCAATAATTTACAAATAAGTTGCGATACTGTAAGGTAAGCTCTTAATGTCTATATACGTACGCTTTAACTGCTGCACTGCCGTCAGTGCTGATTTGGTTAAGTCTGTCGGATCCGTTTAGAGTTACGTGGCTTTGTAGGCTCCTTTTCATCACTGGAAAGTGTGGACGAATTTTGCCATTGATGGGGGGTGCTACGTACTTCAGCCCCCTTGAGTGGCTGTAGATGCTTTTGATGAATTAAAGGAATTATTCCTAATATTGGGTCAAGACTAAAATCCTTTTTGCTCCAAATTTGCTAGTTTGCTTGTGCACTTGACGGAAGGGCCATGTTGTATTGGAACTGTCGGATAAGCAATTTCAACGTGTGCAGTATAGGACGGCCTGATCATTGTGCCTTTCTGATTGCTCGTAACCCGTTTTTTGGCCAGGAATTGAGGCTCTTGCCAGTAGTGCCATTCTAATTCTCACAGTGTTTGGTTAAACTTGTTAAATTCTGTTGTTCAAGCGCGACGAAGGCGATCTCAATACGCGTTATTGTGACCCATTTGTGCTACACGATACTCATTTTAAGTCAAGTCTTAGTGCCAAGCACGCCAAGTCGGGTGGATGCCACACGCATGCTGCTTCGGTGTCCGGGTTTGGTTTCGTTGTCATGTTTGCTTGCCTTCCGAGAACAGAGAGGCAAACGTTTGAGGCGGTGGATTTGGTTTCTGCTAGGATGCAGATAATGGAGAGCATAGGGACGGATCCTGGCAATTTGCCTGCAGTAGTGTGAATAATCACTCGGCTCATCCATCCGTGGGCTTCTAATAAATGGGTCAGTAGCATTGCTGTGGCACATCATGATTAGCCTTGTTAGGTGCTTCATGTGTCATGCTACTATAGACTAAATCAGTACGGTGTTTGTATTAAAACAGCTCTCGGTAATAGTCGCAGGGGTGTATTCCCTTAGCGCATGGTTAATCTACAGGTCTTCTAGGGATTCTCATTCCTATATTACTGTGCCTTACGGATTGGGTACTCCTTTTAACTCAGTTTGAAAGTGTGCCGATTTGGAACTAGCTTTGTGGGGATGAATTTTCTGCCGTTAAAAGTGCCGTATCTGCTTAAATTTATTCATTCAAGCCTACTTGAAAGTTTAAGTGGCGGAAGCCCTGTTGAAGACAATCTTGTGACAAAAACGCAAGGGGTGTGTCCTGTGACAGCCTCAGTTTGCAGGTGTACTCACATTTAAATTTTGGTCCTTTGCTAAAGTTATCAATTTTTGAGTGAAACTGAGGGGTAGTGTGCACTGTTTGTTATTGTGTGTCATCATCCTGTAGTTTGGTTACGTATTCTACGTCTTTAGATTGCCATCTGGCTCTTCCAAAGTCTGGTGGTAGAACGCGCGTTTATTCGCTCTTCCCTCTTTCATGTCAGGTGGTTAGGGGTTGTAGTAATCGATAAACAGAATGA